TTTTTTTTTGCATGCTAGATAACATTCGTGTCAGTCGGTTGTTGGTTCTCACTCTGGCCAGTATAAAATGCCCGCAAACTACATGAAAACTGCCGTATAAGCATGAAAAAATCGATTATTTCTACTATCGATGGGAGTTGGGAAATGCAAAGTCGGTCTTGGCCTTTCCGCTAACTTGGAACATGTGCATGTAAATTTTGGTTCAAATCCATCGGAAATTACTGCCGTGCATTCGTTACACACACACACACACACACACACACACACACATCCTGCGTTTTAAATATATATATATATATATATATAGAGAGAGAGACAAAAGTTTGCATAAGCATTTTTGTTATACCCTATATATATATAAATACACACACACATACATATATATATATATATATATATATATATATATAGAGAGAGAGAGAGAGAGAGACTGAAAAAGATAGATATTGACATACGGTGATAGATTAATACATACATGCATACATACATGTAAAAGACTTGGGGCACTTCAACGTGGTGTAATGGTTAGAAAGCTTGTCTTGCTAGAGCAGTTATGACTGGATAGTGAGTTGAACCCTCACTGGTGGCCCGTTACTTTCGGCCTTGTGCCACATCTAAGCCGCGCTTAGATAATCGCTACATATAAGACGACTTAGATACATGGAAACATTGATTTACATATAAAAAAAATCCTAGATACATTTCAACAGATTGCGAGATATATTTAGTTAAATTAAGCAACAATGATGGTAAAATCACCGGGTATATATATATATATATATATATATATATATATATATATAATAATACAATACGGTAATCCTTATGGAATTTCCAGGAGTGTATAGATCCAGGGAAAGCTCTATGTCAAAAGACCTACAAAGAAAGCTATATTTTTTGTCGGTCTTGAAGATTGAAAGCTGCTTTTTTAGAGCTTTCATGAAATAAAAATTATTGCCTGTGGGATTTTAAGTGTTTTATATTCTTTAATTAATATATATATATATATATATATATATATATATATATATAAAGAGTTAATATTTAGTTTTTTATTTCAATCCGACTAAAATAACGTTAAAATAATAATAATCATAATAATAATAATAATATATAATATCTATAAAACGCGATTATTTTATATCGCATCTTTCCTGTTATATATATATATATATATATATATATATATATATATATATATATATATATATATAAATACAGACATCCATATATATATGTATATACACATATAAATATATCTTTTAATATATACATATATATACATTTATACCCATATTCATATGTCTCTTTTAGTTTATCAATTTACCAAAATCATCAAATTATCGGATTTAATTGAAAATTTCAAATTTATTCACAAATGAATTAACTTTATGTTAAATGTTTCCTTGTAGAATTTTTTCTTAGTCACCACCCCCGTCACCATAATTAATTTGTGGCGAATCCTTATTAGTTAATTTGGAAGTTTCTTGAGCTATACGTTTTTGTAAAAAGCTCAATCCTCGAAATTGTTATATCATTGAAAATAGCATTTAATATCGAGCGTGAAGTTATCGAATATATGTTTCGAAATCTCATGTAAAGAATTCAAGAAAAGCGTTTGTTTGTGGAGAGTTGCAATTATTTTTCGTCTATGCGTCGTGTCCCTTTAACACGTAGGCGATCATGGCCCTCCACAATTTCCTGTCTTTTGTACCTCTTAATAAGTTTTGTCTTTTTGTTATGTCTCCTAAACCTTGTTCTGCCGTTCATTTACTAAAGATTGCTTCTTAAATTATGAGTTATTTTCCTCTGTCCTTCTTGCCTTCATTCCGTCCCGTCTGTATCAATATTCCCAAGCCTTCTTTCCTCATTATGTACCGTAGAAATGTCAATTGTCTCTTCCTGACTTTAATTAAAAGTGTACTTTTTTCCCATTTTCTTTCAAAATTCGTCGTTGTGCACAGGTTCGGTCTATGGTATTCTCAGCATCCTTCTGTAGAACTAGATTACTCTTGTTATAAGTCTTTTTTTCAAGAACTGGTACTACATAACATTTCAGTCGTTTTATTTCTTTGTAATGATTTTTTTCTGTTTCTTAATACTCTGCTTAGCTTTTGAAAGCCATATTCGGCTATCCCAACGCGCCTTCGGATGACAGTGTCGCACTTTCCGACTTCTGTTAAAACACTTCGCAGATATTTAAATTGCTGTATTTGTTTGATTTTGCTATCTCCGATTTGTAATTTGCATTTTGAGATGTCCCATTTGCTAAGAAACATTGCATTGCATCATTTTGAAATTGGTGTTTAGTCCTTTCTTCTCGCTTTCCTTCAATACGTTCTCTAGGTGTTCTTGTAGTTTCCCTTCAGTATCTGTTCTCAGCACTGTGTCATGGCTTTTTTTAAAGTTTTTTTTTTATTTGTTTTAAGCATTTCACCCCAAGCAAGGCGGGAAGCCACTAGCACGCAAGGGGTTAAAGAGAGTTGGAGCGAGAGTAAAGAGGCGTGATAGAGGAAAGGTTGAAGAGAATGACAGGGAACAGATCAAGGCATCTGGAGATGTCGATTGACATTACATTTGAATAGTTGGAGATTATAGCTATCAGGGAAACAAGTAATAAGATGGGAATTCCACAGACGGGAGGTGCGAGAAATGAAGCTATTGAAGTAGAAGAGACAGCTACATTTAACAGTTTCGACAGTGAAAAGATGAGACCTAGATGCCAGCCTAGTGGCACGTTTAAATTCATGCAGTCTGGGAACTAGCGAAAGTAGCTCGTCGGCGCTGTTACCGTGAAAGTATTTGTAGAAAATACAAAGAGAGGCGACGGCACGTCTTTGAGAAAGCGACTGTAGATGCCAGATCAGGGCCAATCACATTGCATATCCGTCTGTGGATTTTGTCGAGGTCCTTAAGATGAACAGGGGGTGCACCAGACCATATATGGCAGGAGTTTATCTTATTAAGAATGTAGCCGCCATTAATGAATTCTAATAAAGACTTGTGTTGGCCAATAAAATTATGGCCGCCAATAAGGATTTCTAATTCTCTCAGAATCGCCTCACTGTGCTGATTCCACTTCAATCTTTCGATTCTTTCGATATTTTTCTGTATCTCCGGTTGTTCTCTTTTATGCATCCTCTATTTTATGCATCCTGTTGATTAATATGTCTTTTGTCCTGTTAGTTCTCCTACTAAAAAGATCCGTGAAAATTCCACGTCTTTCCTATTTTAATATTGTCTCTTCGTTTTAAGTTAATGATTGACTAAGCTCACGGGGAACTCTACAACAGTAAAATATCCCTAGAAATTCCCATATCACATCGTTAAATACTTGCACTTTACAATTTTAACAAAATATTGCAATAACAATAATAAATATGTGTTGAAACTTGACTAATACATGGAATAATAATGCAACACAAAATGTACTTAGAACAAAATGTATTGAAACAAGAAAGTGTACACAATATTTACATATAGTCTTTTGTATATTCCTGGTAAGACCGTTCCTGGAGAATGTGTTGACTGAGACGCAGTCGGGCAGAGTCTCTGGTTGAATCTCTTGATTCCTGTATTTATCTATCCACCCACGAGGATAAAATGTGGCACAAGGCCGGTTTAAAGTGGGTATCTCCGAGCGCCTAGACGGGTTCAAGGCCTGTCTACCACCCCGTACGAAACCCTGCCTCTCGGCAAAGCCTCGCAAAATGCAGAGAGTTCGACTGAGAGTGAATCTCTTGATTCCTCCCTCTCCTCCCGGTACCAACCATATTTATATGGTCGGTACTCCACTATGCAAATTAGGTGGATCCTACCACAACAATATGAATACTACTTGTTATTCTAAGAAATAAGGGTGTACAAATGAAAAGATTTGGAATTGAGATTTTTTTTCCATTTCACTGAAAGAGACGTTAAACTTGTACATTCCCTTCTTTCTTTCTTTCTTTCTTTCATTAATTCATTTTCTCACTGAAACCAAGTAGCGTCTTTGATAGGTCATTGCCGAGTTTTCGCCTATTCAAAAGGGTACAGTCATCGTGACCGACGGTTTCAGCGTACTGGCATTGTTCAAGCTGCTGATCATGACAGATTATATGCTTTCCCCCAGAAACTGTAACTAAGGTCTGCTCAGCATAGTTGTTGTATAAGCCACAGATGTGTTCTGTGGATTGTGAAGAAACACAAATATGCCTGAACAGGTGTCTACAACAGGGATTGGCTAGCCTTCATAGCAGATGGACGTGCTGTGAAAACGAAAGTAGACTGTCGTTATATTTATCAAGTAGCTGTCTTTGGGCAGCGGTCTTTTATTTAAGCAATTTTGGATAAGAACCTAGGAGAAACCGTTATTAAATCTGACCTGCTTTGTCCTCTCGGCTACAGGGTGTGTCGATGAATTGTAATAAATTCCATCTGGTCCTACTGCTTGTTCTTGGTTAATTTGGCCACTGCTGACTTCTCTTCAGATTTTAAACTTTCTGGTCCTTCGATATTACTGTGTATTTTGGAAAGACTTCTCCAACCAATTCCTTCCATCCCTGAAGAATTTTTTTTTTCTTTTTCTATTACCAATATTTTATCTTTCGATTTTATGCAGCCTGTTGATGAACATGTCTTTTGCCATGTTATTTCTCTTATTTTTATGTATATCTGCTTTATCTGTGATACACATTATTTCAATTTCTGCACATTTTTCGTTGAGTCAATCCTCTTTAGCCTGCCTGCATTTGTTCCTCATTTTTTGTACATACAGTTATATATTTTGTGCCGAACTATGGCATTGATTTTAGTCTCCTTTTCACACTGTATTAATTAATTTTAACAAAATATAATGTATATTTTTCACACCACAAGAAAAAAAATCTCTAATGTTTATACATGAGAAATCGGTATATATTTTTACAGTACGATTTTAAAATTATTTTAGTTCTTGGTCGTCGCTGAGAAAGTTGATATAAAGTTGGACCTGAAGAATCGAAAAATGTTCACT